GTTAGGTAACGTAGACGACCGACGTAACGTAGTAGTAGTAATAAGTAAAACGAACGACAACACACGACTATTAGTTATATATATATATATATATATATATATATATATATATGTAAACACACACACGTACACATACATATTAATCGTGTGTTGTAGGAACGTTAAAAAAAAGCAAAAAGTCCGTTTAACTCTTAAGCTTTTTAAATACTTGTTGGTCACGTTTTTATCAATCACATCATTTTTTACTTCTTTTTTTTTTAACCATGCGTACTATGTTCTACTTTTTCCTCTGATCGACTTTTGCTGAGAAATGGATACAAACAACCTTTGATTGCTTAACTTCTAGAATGTTAAACGTCTCATATAAAACCTGTAATTAGCATAAGAAAAGAATTGATTACATATACCAGAAGTATGCACATTTAAATCATGCTTTATTATCACGACAAAAGTAATACACAGAATGTTTCCTTATCACAGAGACTAAATAAACACTTGTCACGTCATTCAGTATCCTAAGTAAGTAAAACTGCTCGTGCCAGCATAAAATATCTGATCTTTTGCAGACGAGGTTATACGTTGAATAGGGTGACAATTACATAGTGACATCTATTGGAAAGGCTCACAACTATCACGTTTTTTCATGATATTTCCACAGAGGCACGCTTGATTTTTTTTTTTTTAGTTTTGAGTTATAAGTCTTTATCTTATCACTTGCAAAAATGTCACAAGAAGATTCGGGTCCTGCACTGTACCTTTCTTCAAATCTTCAAATATTGGCTGAAGTGCCTACTAAAAATAAGTGGAAAGCAAACTAAACAAGTTAGCTCGACTCCCGAATTAAAAGTAAAACGACTGTTACACTAGTTTATGGCCTAGAGATAGCAATGTTTAACATACTTTAAGGTCTGAAAATCACTATCACGCCAATCTAACTACTTAATTTAAACCCGTACATTGTACACGTTATGTTTAATATAAATCCAGTACCAACTCAGTCTAATGATTTAATAAAAACATAATAGTTTAGTATCGATTTTATATAAAACCAATAATAATGATCTGATAGAAAACCATTATCAAATCAGCTTATAGCTTAATATAAAATCAGGCCCAAAGTCATTTGTTAATTTTAAAAACCACTTTATAATTACTGGAAACATACTGCCAGCTTAATCAGAAGATTTATATTGGGTTTAACGTCAGTCTAAGTTGTAGATTACAGTTAGATTAATTAAAATATAATAAAACCATATCGAAAAATAAAGATGAATCCCACGTGCTTTAAACTTACATATTACGAATCTTTATTAAGTCATTTCGATATTTAACAAAGATAAATATCATATAAGAACAAAACTAATCTTAATCCATGCAAATTATCAAATAAATTAATAACAAGAAAATCCAATAATAAACGACAAAGAGACGTTCATCTTGAGATAAAGGTAAAACGAAGAATATATAATTAGTTATTTATGTTATTATATTTTCTATTAAATTATTCATTAATAAATTTTAAGTGAAGAGAAACTATTATATTTGCCAATACATGTCTTTTCTGCTAAATAATGTAAAACCAGTCAACATTACTTACCACAAGCCTAATACGTATTCATGTTCTAAAGTGGTATTAAATTTCTTTCGTTTTTTTTTTCGAATTTGGGAGAGCGGACGGATATCTTGTTTCGCAAAAGATAATAACATAGTATATTTTTTTTACATAAAATAAGGGTGAGAAAATTGAAGAAAAAACAGCCATCGTCGTGGAATGTACACTATAAACCGAACAGGTCATTCCTATAAAAAACAAAACAAAAAAATCAGCTAGTAGGAAAATAACATGGCCATACCGTTTTATATAAGAATCATATAAGATTAAGTACAATGTATTCTTCAAGATATTATCGTCACTCGATATGAGGGAGTTAGTACTAAATTTAGAAGTGATGAGTTATCACAATATACTTTATCACCACCATCTTCCCGACAGAGCAGTTAATCAATCTAATTATTTAAAATAACTATCGTGTTTATTAATTAATTGGAAATCCAGAAAATCATTGTTTGAGGTATATTATTGTAAAGTAAGCGTATCATCTGCAAGATCAGAGAGCTTTCATAGAACGATAAAAACTTCATTTTAAATAAAGCGTTCCATGGCAAAGACATGATTACAGTCACGTCGACCCACATTTGAATGTATAAGAACGTAACTCAGGAAATAATCTGCATTTAAAGAATGGGAGTAACACTCTCCCTGCAAATAAAGTAAGAAGTCAGCACTCTCTCGCGGCCCTACAGGTCTACATTACTATTCAATATAACTTAGTGATATAAAAAAGTTATTCAGAACAAAGTTTCCAGCTTATTTACGAAATCATCTTCTGTAAGTAAACTTTTTACTTGAGTAAGTTATGAAACATACAACGTAATAACCTTAATTTTAAACTTGAAGAGTATACTAGCGCCAATTTTGATTTGTCTGGATTACCTTATACACATACACTACGAGTTGAACATTTAGTTAGTAACATACCACTTTTTCACATACTACTAGGCCTATCTCCACTTGAACCCGAATGGATAGATCCAGAATTACTGCAAGTTATTACTCTTTCGGGTGGTGCCATCTGTCGGCCTGATCTAGTCTTAAAACCTAAATTTTGTTGAACATCTTTTAGATTATTTTAGCATCAAAATTGAGCTTTACCAAATAAATTTCAAAAATGTAAGATATTAAACTTGGGAATCCTTTTACCTGTTCAAAAATATAACTATGAAAATGGATATAACTGTGTAGGTAAATAAAGGAGAATTACGGAAGGTTAAACTTACTTTTGAAGTTTAAAATATATGAAAACAAGAAACAGTAGGTTAAGTAATTTGGATAAGTCGTTAATTTGATTGATGTATAATAAAAACAACAAACTTGTAGTTTGGAGCCTACTTTAAAAGTTATATTTTTTATAAGAAGGAAGGGTATTATTAAACAAAAGCCATTTAACTCCAGTTATTAACTATAAAAAAATTACACTAAAGAAATGTCTCGTGCTAACCAATCTCTATATCTTTACTCTATACACATGGCTGTCATGGTAACTTAGTTCTACACTACAAACATGGTTGTTATGGTAACTTAGTTCTACACTACAAACATGGTTGTCATGATAACATAGCTCAGCTCTGCATTAGAGTCACGGTATCCTAGCTCTACATTATAGGCGTGGCGGTCATGATAATTTATCTTTACATTACAGACATGGTTGTCATTTTAACATAACCCTACATGACAGAAGTAGTCGCTATTGTAATCAGTTCTTTATCACATACATGGTGGTCGTGGTAGCCTAGCTCTGTATTACAGTCATAGTATCCTATCTCTACATTACAGCCATAGTATCCTATCTCTACATTATATGCATAGTTGTCTTAGTAACGTAGCTCTACATTACAGACGTTGTTGTCTTAGTAACGTAGCTCTACAATTCAGACGCTGTTGTCTTAGTAACCTAACTCTACATTATAGGCATGGTTGTCTTAGTAACCTAGCTCTACATTATAGGCATGGTTATTATTGTAACTTGAAACATCATACCTTGATTTATGGGTGGTAGATATGTTACGGGACTTCTTTTGATCGTGGCGTAAGGGCCATCAGTCCTTGTCTTCGTAATTAAAAAGTAACAATAATAAGTACCCTATCAATTATTATTAGAGTATACATTACACATGTTCATTTTTCTATACTAAGCAAGATCTTTATAGCAACTGTTTGTTAGTGTCTACAGTTGAAATTAGTTTTGATAACAGTTCTAAACAAATACTGCAATCTGAATTATTTAACCATAAAAGTGATTGTTTTCATCATTATTATTAAAATACCATTCAGAGAGAGATTTCACCTTATACACATATCATTCTTGAGTACTTTATACTCGTATCGTTGGAACATTAAAAGTATTGCTAATATTGTTAAAAGCATCTTACAGCAATACTTAACATTGTTGGACAGCCTTCATCTGTTATGCACGTAGGTGGCGGTACTGCAGCATAAGGCTCAGCATATTCATGACTGTCGTCACGACGTCCTGTAAATGATGGCAAATATTTTTCAAAAAGTAAATTAGTAATGCAATGAAAATCCTATATGTAATTCTCAGATTTCAGAATAAAGTGTCTGGAATACTTGGTGTGATCACATAGACAAAAATATATAATTAAAATAAAAAGTTGCAAGTTGAATGTCCTGTAAGTTATTTTAAAGAAAAAAGGGTATGTTGAAGAAAGGGGATTTTGAAATGTGTTGTACGATTTATGGTGTTGACTGTTTACCTTTCGTATTTCTTTATCGAGCTTATAGAGTTTACTAATTACTGTTACTTTGTTTTGATTGTGTTTTGTTGATTGAGCAAGGTCTCGTGGCCGGCTGTTATGCATTCTGACCTTCCTTCCGTCGTGGAGCGCTAGGGACTCAAGAAGGTTCTTGGACTCACTCTCGTGCCAAACCCCATTCTCGTCCTCCTACTGACTCAAAGAAGCCTCCTCGTGATTCGATATCATCCTCAACGTTTTATATGACGCCCCTGGACTCCGCTACCTCAACTTTTAGTGCCACACCTATTTATGCTGCTGTTGTATCGACCGAACCAACAGAACAACCTCCTTTATTTCACCAGTTTGCTCCTGCTCAACATTCATCTGGACCTTTTACATCTATGGCTCCATCTGCTCCTATGGATACAGTCTCAGTTCTTCACCGCAAGTCTTCCTTTTGTCTAATATAGATGCTCAATTCTACTCTCTTACCTCTGATGATCCTACTTCACATGCACCTACTAGTAATACTGCTACCCTTACTTCTAATGATCCTACTACAGATGTACCTACTAGTACTACTGCTACTCTTACCTCTGATGATCCTACTTCACATGCACCTACTAGTAATACAGCTACCTTTACTTCTGATGATCCTACTTTACATGCACCTATTAGTACTACTGCTACCCTTACCTCTGATGATCCTACTTTACATGTACCTATTGGTACTACTGCTACCCTTACCTCTGATGATCCTACTTCAGATGCACCTACTAGTACTACTGCTACCTTTACCTCTGATGATCCTACTTCAGGTGCACCTACTAGTACTACTGCTACCCTTACCTCTGATGATCCTACTTCAGATGCACCTACTAGTACTACTGCTACCCTTACCTCTGATGATCCTACTTCAGATGCACCTACTAGTACTACTGCTACCCTTACACCCCCGATGAATTACATCTTGCATCCCCCTCTATTCTGTATTTTATCACCTTGCCTTGTATAATATTAATTCTTTTCATCGCATATTCATTCTGGACAGCATCAACAGTTCAGAAAAAACTGGGTTTCAATTTTAACTCCACGCTTCCTATTCATACCTCAATTCTCATTTTTGTTTTCATCATTTATGGGAACAAGACGGACCCGGATCAGTCAGGACAGGATGTTAAGCATTCTCTTCGTTAACATTCGCTCGTTTGTTACCAATAAACTTTTGTTTGCTCATTTTCTCGAGGAGACTGTCTACAAATTAGTTCTTTTTAGTAAAACTTTTCTTAACCCCTCTTTTGTAGCCAAGTTATCAGTTTTTCATTTTCATCAGTGTGATTATCTTCTTGAGGTTGGTAGATGGGGCGTGGCAATCCACAGTCGTGTTAATCTTATTCGTGTTCATACTCTTCCTTCAAATACTTTCCCGAACACCTTATTGTTTCGGCTTATTCTCCTTTCTATGTTCTTACCATTTCACGACATATGTTCGCTCACGTGTTCTTCTACTTTCTACATTCTTCACATCTGTTGATCATCCTTTGTCGCAGCTACAATATTCTCGCTGATATCAACTTTCACAGAATAACTGACACTGATGTAACACATTTTCACACCATGTTAAATAGTACTTGCGGAATGTTATTGCCTCTTCCTGCTCCAAGCCATCCTTCTACTGATTTAATTATTATTTCTGCTAATGGTTCATCCATCCTGACTGTTTCTCTACTTTATCCTGATGGTATTGATCATTTGTCCATTCATGTTCCTCGGTGTCACCACTCTCCAGAAGACTTTGATAGCAAATAGGACTGATTACCGAACTTGTCTCCATTGCCTTACTTCGGGTAGTGAACTTTCTGCTGTTACTTATACGGATACCTTTGAATGTACTCTGATATTAGTTCTCTCTTCTGCAGTTGTCCACTTGATCCCCTCTTAATTGCCTCGTGCTCATCTCCCATTCTTGCCTTACCATGTCGGAGCTCTTCTTTACTGTTTCCCCTCACTTCTACACGACTAGCGTCATTCCCAGGATCCTCTTGTTTTATGCCACTTTCGTTGTCTTTAGTGCACCGCCAGAAATTCCATTCAATGTTATCGTTGGCATTACCTGTGCAACAGACTTCACATGTCTACATCTTCCTCGTAGATTTGGTCTCAGTTTCTTATTTACTGGTCAATGTTAATCCCTTTATGATTGATGGCATGGCTCTTACTATCACACTTCAGAAGAAAAACGCTTTTGCCATCTATTCTGAGTCGAAGTTTCGTTTCTCCAGCTTCACCCTCTGGACTTTGATGATCATACATAAATATTTCGTATGTCAGACCTCTCTTTGCCAGCTCTCGGCTCTTCTCTCGCCCATGTTCGTGAGAGTTCTCCTGTGCACCTTTTACAGCTTTTGATATCCAACTTGCTCTACATCATCAACACAACTCTGCCTCTGGCATGGATAGTCTCACCTATTCCCATCTTTCCCACACGCCTGTACATTTTCTTACTTTCTTGGCATTGTTCTACCCATTTCTTCTTTGTACAAGCTTTTATCCTACAGATTGAAAAATTTCTATTCTTCTTCATTTCGTAAGGTCATTGAAATCGCCTGTCATCTTGTTTTCTATGTCCCATCAGTTTAACCAGTGTCCTCAGCAAGACTCTTGAACGGATTCTTGTCCTACGACTGAACTCTTTTATTAACGTCCACCAGCTGCTATCATTTACACACCTGATCAGCTCCTCAAGTTCTTCAATTTATTGTGAATCACTTCAACAGTTCGAAACATATATATCTACTATTGTTTGACTTTGAACTTGCCTTTGATTCCTTTGGTCTTATCTATAAACATCAACATCTGTCTTTTCTGCTTCCTATGTTTGCTTTATTTTTTAATTTCTTCGGGATCGCCAGGCTGCTATTTTCATCAAAGGCACTCGTTCTCGGTCATTCTCTGTAGATGCGAGCGTTACAGAGGGCTCCGATATTTCTCCTCTTCTTACATCCTGCTTGTTTTCGACATGCCTTCCCTCAGCCTCCAGTTTATATCTTATAATATGCAGATAACACAGCTCTCTTCACCATGTGTTGTTCTATGATGATTTCGCCCAACAAAGTTTTCAGAAAGCTGTTACTTCTTTTCTTATCTGATTCCACCAATGGAAGCTTACAGTTCAACCTGAATAAACCAAAGTTATTATCTTTGGCACAATTTGACGTAAATTTCGCTCGTGCCATAACCGTCATGTTTTCAATGTCTGTACTGAAAACATTCCCATTGCCCTATATAATACTGTCAAATACCTGAGTGTTAGTTTGATCTTCATTTTACCTGGAAGGCTCACCTGGACATCCCACAGAAAAGGTTTACAATGCCTTCTTGGTTTATCCTAGGATTTAAATTCCCAGCTTCTTTTATATTTCTATAATGCCTTTGTCCATCCCTGCCTTACTTACGGTCTCGTCGCCTAGATCTATACGCCTTCTTCCTTTTACCGTTGCTTGGAAACTTTGGAGCATCATGCTCTAAGCCTGTTTTTTAAATGCATCTTCCTAGTCCTACACAGGAATTATACTCTCTCATCTCTTTTCCCCACGTTCTCCTGCATCTACGTCATCTTCGTGTCCAAAGTTGTTCAGCGCTGCTTTAAATACCAGAGGCCTATCTTTGATGAGATATTCTCCTATTCTGTGGATACACCTCAGAAACTGTTACCTCTGACTGATCATCTCCTGAATCTTTACATCATGTCGTTGCCATTAGGTTATTCTGATTGCAATGACATACCTATGCTTCATCTTCCACTACACATCTATCCCTGATACTGCACAATGATGGAGTATCGACTTGTTCTACTTTCTACTTTCACAACTCAATCCACATAACATACTTTTCCTGGTTCCTGCTCTTTCCTGATGCCATGCCCATTTTTTGTTGCTTTTCATGTCACTTACAGCCAAGCCATTTTCATCTGGATCGCTTAACCACCTTTTATTACTTTCACGCTTTGTACTTTCGTTCATCTCGTGGCCGAAGAGAGGGCGTAACCACCTGACGGCCCACAAGCCTTCCTGGGCTGGAGTGAAATGAACACTAAAAAAGGTATGTCCATGAGAGAGTTGTCTAGTTGCATTATATACGTATTGTGCAAATATAAAATTGACATGGCATAAAAGATAGAGTGATAAGATACTTTCATAGATATTTGATTAATCACCGTCTAAAACTAGTTGTAGCGGTTCATTTAGCTTCTGAAATTATGCCAGCATTTATAGTATCAATGTTTCCCTTATTTCAGTTATGACATTGTGAATATTGTATTAGACACTGTTTTTCTGAAAGCCTGACAGAAAGAGAGTGCAGAAACTGAGATTTGGCAAGTGTATTAGCCATGGCCATGGGAAGTGAGATCTAGTCAGTATAGTAAACATGGCCAAAGAAACTGAGAACTGGCGAGCGCACTAGACATGGCCAAAGACACCTCTTTCGTGAATACTACTGCTGGGTTCAAGAGCCTTTCATGACTCACAAAGGCCACAATATACCGACCAGGCTTCTTCATTTTGCTGGATTACTTCTATAGCTACCCCAAGGGGGTGGTCCATACTCATAAAAACATCCGTTAAAACATCTGCCATGGTACTTTAGCACATGTTCGATGTTTGGTTCCGCTAGTGGGGGTATGAACAGTTTCAAACATGGCGCCCTAGAATACAACGGGGGCCAGGAAAACAAAATCAGATACCAGATTCAGTTTCTGTAAGCATGGAAACATACTTTCAGATCCTATTATGCCTGGGTGACTTTCCGGGCGCATTTAAGCCCCCTTGGTATAGGGATATACCACATACATCAAGGAGCCTCTCGGGTCACCCTGAGTCCACCTGCTAAGTTTGGTCTTGCTGTGAGAGGGTTTAGATAAAGATACAGAGACACATACAAAGCGAAATATGGCGCCCCCATGATTCCGAGGAGGCCCAGGAACACAAATATTGATGCTAGATTCGGTTTAGCAACCCAGAAAACCTACTGCCTGGGTGACCTTCCAGGGGTGTTTTAGCCCCCTTCGTATCCCTTCAGTAGGAGGGACTACGTAAGATAAATAAGAACATTTCTTGCACACTCCGAGTCCGCTTGTTAGGTTTGGTCCTGCTAGCTCCAGATCTATGGTAGGAGTTAGATGGGCATACATACATACATACAAGTTGAATTAAAATTGAATCCTATAGCTTATACAGCTTGTGAAAGAGTCAAGAATGCCGCTTGGCTATCATAATTCACACCTTGCCTACCATTTTTAACTTTATCAATTTTCGTTTAAAGATACAACGCTCATCTAAAATTAGTTGTCACAAAAGCTGTCCATTTTATTACCAAATACACCGTCTAGGTCAACAATGACCATCAAAAATAACCTAGAAGAATGAACTAGGCAACTAATAATATTCAAATAAAACATAAAAGCTTACGGTGAGGGATACTGGACGTCACTTTAATGGTTTTGCCTCTAGGTGGAGAAAAATACGACGACGTTTTTAATGAAGAGTCAACATCATTTCCTCCTTTCTGATAAAAATCTACCATTCCGACAGCATCAACTTGTCTACATTTCCTGGAATGACTTTCTGGTGCAGGAAATGTAATATAATTATTATTTACTTCTTGGATTTTTTTTTTTAAGTTGATAAAACAGTATGTGTAAACCGGCGGATTTTAAAAAGATCTGGTGTAAAAAGAAACCGAAATAATACACTATAAAAATTAATTGTTTGAAGTTAAGCACAAAGCTATACAGTGGGCTATCTGTGTTCTGTCCCCCACGGGTATCGAAACCAGTGTTCTAGCGTTGTAAGTCCGCAGACATACCGCTGTGCCACTGGTGGGCCAAAAATTAATTTTAATAGATTCTTCTAAATATTCACACGAAATATATATATACAACGAGTAAAATATTTCTAAAACTAGAGTCTTTAATACTAACACTTTCTATCAAAATCGACATTTAGAACTAATCAATTAATCATTTTGGCAACAAAATAGAGAAAAAAAACTATCCTTACTCTCTAGATAATAAAAACATATTTATTTTAGCCAACGTCTCGCCCTTGCGGCTTCATCAGTAGAACTAACTTTATTACCAAGTTATCTAAATCCCTCTAGTATCTATTAACAATTATGCAAGTTAACAAAATATTCAATTAATCATCTGCCCGTAACAATTTCATGCCAGGTTTCATTATAAACGATCAAGTGATCACCTGTATGTGATGACAGTTAAAATGGCACAAGACATACAACACGCAAAGCTATACATAGCTCTGTTGGTTAATAACATCTGTCATCGACCTAGCAAGGTTGGTGAGAGCTGACCGGAATTCTCAGTTGATCGTGGTTCGGATTGGTTACCTAATATGAGCTTCTTTTTTTTATATTTTACATTTCATCCCACAAAGGTGGAAGAGAAGTTTCAGAGTTGAATTCACTTGGAAAGCTGGATAGTATCAAATGCAATTTCGGATTAAATTACCAAAAGCAAAAAAAAATGATGTTTTTATACATAAAACCCACACAAAAGCCAGGTTTACCACAACTAAACTGTGATCACATGACATATACCTCCACTGCTGGCTCCGCTGCTCATATCTGTTTGACGACGCAGACAAACGATGACAGCAACGACGACAACCAGTAATACGATGATAGAAATAACGACTGGTAGCAATACTGTTAGGTTCCTGTAAAATGGGAGATACGTTTCTTCCAAAAGCGGAGGCATAGGTGGCGCCGCGATGCTTGTGGCTAAATATTGGACAAAAATAAATGATTGCATAATAAAACAGGTCATAATATTTTAAACACGAAAATTAACAAATAACCCACGGTACCATCATAGTTTATATAAAAAGTAAGTTTGACTAACTGATACAGTTAAATAAATAGAAAAAATGTTTGTTTGATGTTAAACACAAAGGTACACAATAGGCAACCCATCGCAATAGGCATCGGAACACGATTTTATAACGTTACAATCACCGAGATTTAGCGCTGAGCGACCGAGAGACTTCTAAAGAAAGGATCGGAGGTGATCGACTCAGGTATATATATATATATATATATATATACATAAATAGAACAAAGCAAATCAGATGTCTAAATAAACGAAACAAAGAGGCAGAGTCAGAATAAATAGCCAATTAAGACATTTGATTAAACAGAACAAAGAAAGTGGTTGACTCAGTTACACTTTGATACAAATGTACGAAATGCAGTTTGTGACATCTGACGTAGGCCTAAGGTCGAAAGTTATGTACTAAAATTAAAACCTATTGAGTGTGTTTGTGATGTTTTTATTCAGTAATATTAAGTTTCCCACGATGTCAATATCCACACTTAGAAGAGAGCTCACCGATCCACGATGTCAATATCCACACTTAGAAGAGAGCTCACCGATCCACGATGTCAATATCCACACTTAGAAGAGAGCTCACCGATCTTAACAAGATTGACTCAGCCATTTCAGCAGAAGAAGGAAAGTTTTGTTAGAGTTGTTTTAACAGAAAAAGGAAAATTTTGTTACAGTTGTTTTAACAGAAGAAGGAAAGTTTTGTTACAGTTGTTTTAACAGAAGAAGGAAAGTGTTGTCTCAGTGTTTATACAGAAGGAAAGCGGTTGATTCAGTTATTGTAACATAAGGAACAAGGTTACTAACTCAGTTCTCTGAACAGAAAAAGAAAGACTAATTCGTGTAGTAGGTAATCTAGCAGTAACATTAATTATCTAAACGGGGAAAGGGGCTAACTTAGGGAAAAAGATACACAAGGGCTATCTGCGCATAGCCTCTCTAATTTTGAATTGATAGACAACAGCACTCATCCCCCCAACTCATGCTTGGCAGGTATTTGACTGCCACTCTTAAAATGCACCCACTAACCTAACGTCAAAGCGCGTTTTGTCTACAACAGGACAAGAGATAACTGCTACAAGTATCATAACAGAAAAACAAGTGTCGGACTCAACTACTGGACGTTAGCAAGTTGTCATTATAATTATACAAACAGAAACAAAGTGAATGGTTTAGTAGTTCAACCCACCCAACTCGAAAAAAACTATTAATAAACACAAAACGTTAACTTACTCATCAAGGACAAATTCAGTGTCTTCAGAGTATACTCGGCTTCTGTTGTACCAGCCTCGTTGTGGGCACTAACAAGTAGATTATACTCACGGTCTGGCGCTAGGTGGCTTATAACTAAATGCTTTTGTAGACCTGTTACAGGGACAGTGTCAGTATTCCAGCGACGTAGAAAAGCAGTTCGATACTGGACAGTAAAGTTCTGAACTGGACAGCCTCCGCTCTGCCAAGCATCCATATTCAATGTGAAAAACGTTGTGTTCGGTATTATGAAAGCTTCTTTCTGTGGAGACACTGGAGCTGATAACGGAAGTAAAACGTTGAAAACAAAAGAAAAAAACTGGTGTATTTTACTGGGTTTGTTAAAACATCATAACTTTATAGTTTTATATTCCGCTAATGCATGCTAAGTAGAATTCAGATGAACTAATCTTATTGAAGTAAAAAAATACAATATAAATACGTACCTGTCGTACTTGATGCTGTAACAGTGCATTTTGTATATAACTTAAAAAACTACAACAAAACACAAACAATTCACCATCTTATTATCAAGGCCAGTTTTTTACGACCACACTTTTATTATTGTACCGTTAGCTCTATTGGCCTCGCACTACATCATTCGATATTCATCATATATTGTGGAAAATACCATAAATCTCACCTCCTCCTTTTGTTCTCGCTGTAATAGGATCACGTGGTTCTCCGGTTCCAAGACTGTTGGATGCAGTCATAAATAGACGATAGCGAGTGCCACATTTCAAACCTTTCAATGTGTATCTGCCAGTGTTAGTTTTCAGAGACTCCTTTTTCCAGTCCCCACCGTCGTGCTTGTAGTGTAGTACATAATCTGCAAGAAAACGTTCCTCAAAAACATGTAGTCTGAAAGAGAACCATTATCAAAAACGATATGTAATAGAAAGTCACTGAACAATGTTTTGTAGTAAAGTCTGTCGTCTGTAATACAAAGTTACTCAACAATGTTAGTCTGGAAAAGAACCATGTTCAAAAACAACATGTAAGAGAAAGTCATTGGATAATGTTTTGTAGTAAATATGTCGTCTGTAAGGTAATGTTATCAAAAATGTTGCAAATACATCGGGGCAAAGGTAATGAGGATTGTCATTTAGTGAGAAGTAAAAGTGGAAGGAAGGCCATTCACCAATACTGACCGGAAGTGCATAGTCTGGCAGGGAAAGTGGCAAAATTTTGTCCTGTAAAGTACAATCTCAGGTAAAAGTAGTTAAAAAGTTGTAAAAAAATGAATGCATGACTCACAGTGGGCCATCTGTCAACATGAGTGCTAACTTTAACGTATGACAGATCTAAATTTAGGAATAAAATATATAGACGTGAAAATTTTAAAATACAGGGTGGTTCAAAATGATCTTTCCTAGTTTAAGATTTTATAACTAAATAAATAAGGAAATACAACCATGCAATTTTCAACATCTTGTAGCCAAACTCATACAAGTTTTTATTGACATGTCAGTAGACGTCTACGTGTGCATCATTGGTGGCTCTCAGCACATCTAACCAATATTCGATTTCAGTCCATGTTCAATGCAACATGCCCGCAGTTACAGTGGCGATGGCATCCGTTATCCCGGTCTTTATCTCCGTCATGTTTGCTATAGGTGTGCGATACATGATGTCTTTAACATACCCTTAAAAGAAAGAAGTCTAGTGCAGTGATGTCTGGCGAATGCGGAGGTCACGGAATTCGCCCACTCTGCAAGCCAAATGACGCATTGTTTGTTTGTTTGAAGTTAAGCACAAAGCTACACAATGGGCTATCGGTGATCTGCCCACCACGGGTATCGAAATCCGGTTTCTAGCGTTGTAAGTCCGCAGACATACCGCTGTGCCACTGGGGGGCACGACGCATTGAGTCTTTTTCTTGTATAGTTGCCATTTTACAAGATAACACTACTCACTGGAGCGAAAAACAAAACATGACAATAATAAATGTCTGAGTTGGGCTACAAGATGTTGAAAAGTGCATGGATGTATTTCTTTAATTATTTAATTATTAATCTTTAAAATAGGAATGATAATTTTGGACCACCCTATATAATAAATAAATGACCATTCTTAACAATTTATTTAACCCTGTACACATACAGCGACAAATAGTGCAACAAAACATGCATAGATGTCAATACCAACAATGTAATAAACTTATATAAATAATTTTGTTAAATAGTTTAATTAAACCTTTACACATTACACACAGTTTAATGAAACTTAATAAAGAAGTACAAAAAACAGTATATAAATCTTCACACCCCACAGATGGCAATTATAAAAAAGTAAAATTATATCTGTAAACAAAACAGTATTAATAACTGCAATGACATCTGTTATGTTCAAAACTATATAGTTAAATCTGTATAGGTGGCATTGTTATTTTAAGAAAAATTGTTTTACCTTTCAACGTGACGTCATTTGTGTCTACCTTCCATTGAATTGTTATAGTTGAAGATGACGTTGAAGTTACGGCTATTACAGGAGACGTAGGGGGAGCTGAAAAAACAAAAACATTCATTTTTAGCTCATTTTGTATATTGTATTCCGAATAAGTGAAATGATTTGGACTTTCTCCAAATCTCAAAACAAATATCTCCAAGTAATACATCTCTTGTAGTTATCAATATTTGAGGAGAAAGTATCTTTAATTTATACCCATTTTAGTTCTTTGTTTTCTCTCTTAAATAAAACTCTTTTTGCAACTCCATTAAACTATTTATGAAAAGAAGTTAATAATCTTGTCAAAAAAATGGGTGCGGCCAAAAAGTGCAGGTAACTGCAAATAATAAATAAATAAATATATACAGAAAGTGAAGTTTACTACCTTAAAAACACTTTATATTGTTTCTTCAGGAATCAGCTATTAGGAGAGTGTCAGGTTTGGCCATAAACAAACCAACAAAATAAAAAACACAAGAACAACTCTAAAACAACGATTGTATCTCTACCTTTATATTAAAACCTAGAAACATGCCCTTATCTCCTCCTAGAGTTGTGCTTTATATAACTTGGACATTCCCTTTGTTTCCAAAGTTTGTTATAACCTACCCTTTGTTGCTAAAGTCTGTTATAACCTACCCTTTGTTGCTAAAGTTTGTTATAACTACCTTGTGTTGCTAAAGTCTGTTATAACCTACCCTTTGTTGCTAAAGTTTGTTATAACCTACCCTTTGTTGCTAAAGTTTGTTATAACCTACCCTTTGTTGCTAAAGTTTGTTATAACCTACCCTATGTTGCTGAAGTCTGTTATAACCTACCTTATGTTGCTAAAGTCTGTTATAACCTACCCTTTGTTGCTAAAGTTTGTTATAACCTACCCTTTGTTGCTAAAGTCTGTTATAACCTACCCTATGTTGCTCAAGTGTGTTATAAACTACTTCTTGTTGCTGAAATCTGTTAGAACCTACCCTATGTTGTTGAAGTCTGTTAAAACCTACCTTATGTTGTTGAAGTTTGTTAAAACCTACCCTATGTTGTTGAAGTCTGTTAAAACCTACCCTATGTTGTTGAAGTCTGTTAGAACCTAATCTTTATCTTCTTTTTTTTTCTTATCTGTTTGTAGAATAATTGTTATAATCCATGGGCTGTGGAAGGGGGGAAGAATTACTGTGCCCCCCAAACCTCCTGCTTTAGTGTTTTAGATAGCTTAGGGTATACCGATAATAGAAAAAAAGAACTTTACTGTTAAATATTTTTGGTCTAACTGTGGCTGCTAGCAGTTTATTTTATAGCAATTATGGACGTTTCATGAAAATCTGTAAATTGGGTTAAGATCATCGTACCCAATTTTTAATCTTTCTGTAGAAATGACAATACAAGTATATAAATTTCAAGCAAAGAGTATATATTACCTTCATATAACTTATTCTTAAATATTTAAAAATGTGTGTGACAAACATGTAAAAATCACAAAAAAAAACAATAAAAGTTTCCGTTGTTTCGTCGCTTATTAGGTTTTTTGAAGATGATTATCACGCTGTATAGTATTGAGGTCTTCCATCAAAGTGACACTATACCATGTATATATATATATATTTTAGTAGTATTAGAGTTTGTAATTATTATTTCTTTTTGTTGTGTTCATGGAAATATTCTCTCTATATTTTTACTGTTACGTCACTTGTAATTTGTGTAAGCCCTGATAACAGTTTAAATGAACAATATTTGTTAAACAACAATATTTTCAAAGTTCATGTGATACACTGTGTACTATGATTTCCTTACATGAGCATGTCCGAAGCTGCCACTCAAAGATGAGTATACTGAAGTATTAATACACATGTCTTGGCTGAGGCATGATCTTGTCTGAAAGATGAGTATACTGAAGTATTAATACACATGCCTTGGCTGAGGCATGATCTTGTCTGAAAGATGAGTATACTGAAGTATTAATACACATGCCTTGGCTGAGGCATGTTCTTATAGAGTACGCATTGGATCTATGTCTGAGTAACATAGAAAGCACATGGTTTTAAATACATCAAAGTAGAAATAATTATAAGTGTTTCAATTAAACGTGGCAAGTAAAAGTGTCATGTAAACATATGCATATTTTCAAACATATCATCATTTTATAACATCATAAAATGTACTTGTGTGCGTTCAAATATACATATCATTGTATATAGTATCACCTGAAGCATTACTTAACATAATTCCGTTTTACCGAAACTGGTCTTAAAAAGCAACGTAGAAAAATGTTCAAATTTAAAGAAAAAAATATATACTATTTTCTAGAAACACATCTACTACATTATCCAAAGATACAAAAAATGAAAATATTTTAAAAAACAATGGTGTATAAACATCCACAAATGCTTAAACATATATATCCTTTGTTTGAAAATTATACTTGTATATTTATCTTTACAAAAAAAAAAAAATTATACTCAAAATGGATAAGATTATCTTAACTCAAATAATTATGGTAAGATATAGTCTCTGTTATCAATATATATACATATATATAGTGTTGTGTGTGTATATATATATATATATATATATATCTAAAACATCAAAGCGAAAGGTTTATGGAGGAAGGGGGCACAATGATTCTCCTGACCCATAGACTACAACACAATGCCCACTTTGTCATTCCATATGTTTATAAAAAACTTTTTATTCCTTACTTGTTGAGTAATAAATTAAACCCTATTCTTTAACTTCGATCTGGATTAATTTTATCTTACTGAAGTTTTGTTTATCAATTGCACTTCGTATGACCTAGGCCTACCCCCATGTTATTAAAGCCTTTCTCCTAAGTTGATTCCAGCGTACCAACATTCACTTCGTTCGACCTAAGGCCTGCCCATTGTCACTATAGGTTTTTTGCTCAGTCGTTTCCAGAGTAACAGTGTGACCTTTTGTCCGATCTAGGTCATACCCCATATTTCCAAAGGCTTTCTTCTAATCTGCTTCTATAACTTATTTTCTGAACTGTTTCAAGGGTAACAGAGTGCAATTTGTTAACGTATAACTCCTCCTATGTTACTCTATTTATTCTTATAATAATAGTATAACAACATACAACATGTTAGGCAAAGATATCCAGACATTGCTCTAAGGTATTAAAGGATTTTTATCACCTACTTTTAAAGATTGTGTTCACTTTCTTTGACTAACGCTCTGCCTCACTTTATTAGGAACTGTTTTATTATCTGTATCTGCGGTAACAACGTCCTCTTTGTCCAATTAAAGTCTTTTAGGATTACAGTGTTTACTTCACTTGAACCAGGACCTACATTCTTTAATTAAAATATTTTATCATTATTTTTGTTGGTCCATTTCACACCGTACACATCACACCTTACTGAAGTAGTTTTATTTTATTATTATGTAGCAGAACGATGTGCACACGCCTTTCATTCTATACTCTCAAATACTTCTAGAGCAACAACGTGCACTTCGTCCGACCCGGATTTCACTCCTGTTATCAAATACCTTTTTACTCACCTGCTTCCAGTATAACAGCTTGACTTTGTCCGACCAAGAGGTCAGACCAAACTTTGATTATCAAAGACTTATTTTCTAAACCGTTCAGAGTGTAACAGCTTGATTCTGTCCAATCTAAACCACACTCCTGTTACCAAATACTTCTTTCCTAAACCGTTCAGAGTGTAACAGTTTGATTCTGTCCAATTTAAACCACACTCCTGTTACCAAATACTTCTTTCCTAAACCGTTCAGAGTGTAACAGTTTGATTCTGTCCAATTTAAACCACACTCCTGTTAACAAATACTTCTTTTCTAAACCGTTCAGTGTAACAGCTTGATTCTGTTCAATCTATACCACACTCTTGTTACCAAATACTTCTTTTCTTACCTGCTTCCAGAGTAACAGCGTGCACTGCGTCTGACATAGGCCCCGCCCCTACGTTATTAAAGGCTTGCACCAGGACGGCATATTTGGTATTTCGTTTTAGGTTGGTGAGGTAACTGGTGTATTGATCATGACTAGCCTTCTCTACACTCTTGTATTGGAAAGGTTCTTCACTGTTTGTTTTCTTATAACCTAGGTAGTAGCCTTGAATGACACCGTGCTGCAGTTCTGGTTTGGGTGGCTGAAATGAACAAGAATTTGAAAGTCATTTTATAGCTTAACTCTGTGGAACTTCTACTGACCCAAATATTTATGTGAGATTTTAGATAATGCAGAGTACACACCTACTAAATTTAAGAAAAGTTTTGAATTTTAAATACACAAACTATTACTCACAGAAATCGAATATTAAGAACGTTTAATGGTCATTTAATTCCTGTAGTGCATATTGAAGTATAAAAAGACATTAATTATAGAAATGAACGACCTTATACCATCACATTCAGTTTTCTTATGTAATTAAACACTCAAAGTTTCGCTTTACAACTTCATCAGGAGGGTTTCATTAAAACTCAAACCGTAATTAATCGTTAATATCTTCAATTGGTTTAAATAAGAAATTATAATAGATTATATAGCATGCATTTTTACAGCGTGCGTTTGACCTTATACATAGTAAAGTATATTGTTGAAAATAAAATTTGTTATCTATAGTAACCAAAAATTCTATCGAAAATATTCATTGAAATAACAAAAAGTTAAAATGAAAAATTATAAGTGTCATCCTTTGTTCCTATTCATCAGTGGTTGAAGTTGTTAAAGAGAGGAGCTTATCTCAAGTTCCTATTGGTATATTTGGTGAGGATCTGTAGAGAGAAAAAGATGGATTGATGCCAGGAGTTACTTGGCCATCGTTAGTTACAAAACGATCTACAACTGCACTTTTCTCATATTTTAGTTTAAAAGGGTCAAGATGTTTTCCTATCCTTCTGTGTAGGATTCTTCCAGTTTCATCAATGTATGTAAGGTGACGATACTGGAAGCAAGACATTTGGCTTTACTACATTGAAGGGTAGTGTACTGAAATTTTAAAAGTTGACTTCTGAGAGTTGGACGTGTCTTGGTTTTTCTGTAACCTTAATAGACAGTTCAGATTTCTTGATTATCGTTTTTATTTCCTTAAAGGTAGTTTCGTCAATTAGAAGTAAAGTAAAGGTATTTTTTGCGATATCTTTGGAAAACTGTCTTCTCCTTGTTTTCCCTGTTTATTCATGTGATCTTAATTTTTTGTCATCATCCTTGAAAATTTGTTCGATGTGAAATTGTAACTTTGTTGGAAGCTCTTGGATTATAGGAGTTGAAGTGAAGAAAAATATATTTTTAATTGGTTTATGAAACAAAATAACGTCAAGAATGTTTCTACTTCTGTTATCATTCGAATGATTAAGGGTGAATTAGATCTATGGAATTGAGAAAGTCTACAAATTTGGATAATAAATCAAGGCCACGGTTCCATAGGCCAAACACGTTCATCGATGTACTTGAGCTATATGTTGGTATCTTGACACCACATGTCAAGTTTCAACAACTAAATAATACAACATAAATAACAGGCCAAACACGTTCATCGATGTACTTGAGCTATATGTTGGTATCTTGACACCACATGTCAAGTTTCAACAACTAAATAATACAACATAAATAACAGATTCTTGACAGCACATTGCGCCACCACTTAGTTGAAGATATATTTTACTGTCAAAACGAAGATGTTCAATATGAAAGTTTGAAGAAGTAATAACAGAATATAATAAATTACAACAAAGAACTAAGTTTCAAGAAGTCATAACACATTTTAACAAATTACAATAAACAACTAGGTTTGAAGAAGTCATATAGCTTATTCAAACCCAGTTGTTTTTGTAATTTATTATAATCTGTTATGACTTATTCAAACCTAGTTGTGTATTGTAATTTATTATAACCTATCATGACTTCTTCAAACCCAGTTGTTTATTCTAATTTATTACAATCTATTATAGCTTATTCAAACCCAGTTGTTTTTGTAATTTATTATATTCTTTTATAAATTACAAAACAACTGGGTTTGAATAAGCTATTTGCATAAATTTCAATTGTTTTGTCATTCGATATGAATCCACACACTACACTGATACGTATTCTGTCCGTTGAAGAAACTGTAAAGCAAATCGTTGAGTGTCCAAATAAATAAATAAGTAAACAAAATTTGGTGTCATAAGATAATTTATTCATAGAATTAAAACGATCAATGGTGTTAATTTCACAGACGAAACTTGAGTGTATCTTGTAAATAAGAAAGAATCGTCTTACTTACGGTAACTAAATTGCAAAAACAAAGTTATAATATAGTGCATGCCAAACTCAGAATTTGTGGTCTCGAACGTCTTCAGTGAAGTGTATGAGCGACATTTCTCTTATGCAATATCTGACTTGATTATCTTTCAGATACAATTATTTCTTCATGAAGATATTAGATTTTTCTCGACTTTCCAGGCAACATTTAAGATTTTCCAGATCTATATATGAGCACGTACGACATACTGCTATTTCATTTTTTTAAATAATTTTACCTAACTAATAACACCGCTTTTAAGCTTGTAATCTGGTCATAAAGGTTAATAAAAACTTCAGAACGTATGCTTACTTCAGACTACATGAATGTTGCATTTTGATTTTAAAAGAGTATTATGTATAGTTTAGCAAATATAGTGAGATAAGCAATTATCATCAGATAAAATGACATTGAGACTGATGAAGATTATCTAACATATACCAAAAACTTGAACATGGTCTACTTGTGCGTGCAGGTTACGAGATAAAAGATGGGGAGGAGTCAATTATTTTTGATTTCTCCAGATTTTCCAGGTTCGAGGCAAGAATGACACTTGGGCTTTTTAAGAAAATAAGTCTTTTTACCATGTAGTTGTCATTGGCATCAACCAATTATTTATCAAAGAAAATCAATTAATACAAACTTGCTAGACTTCATAATCGGATAAGGCTAGAGATATATTTTAATATATATATATATATACTTGACGCAGCCTAAGCTCAATCTGTTATATCCAATAACATGTGACAGTTAGCAAACATATTTGGTTTGTATTAACATAGTTAACTCACATATATACAAGCAAAGTTTATGTTTTCAATGACTGAATAAATAAAGCTATACTAACCGTCCAGGTGACCTTCAGGGACTGTGACCCTGTGGCCTCGGCATGGACATTCAATGGAGGGCCACCTGGCACTACAGGATCAGGAAACAGTAAGGTTATTAGTTGTACTACATTTTAAACTTCCACTCATATTGTTCTGGAAAGAAACTTGAAATATTTTTTATCTCATTGTTGTATTGTTAATAGAAGAAAGAATGCTTAACAAACAGTTTGAGCAAGCTTACACATTCAGTTTTATCTTATTTTACGACAATGAAAGTGTAGTGGATAATTTAATGTAAAAGACTTTGTGTACTATATTGTGCTCATAACAGCAATTGCAAATAATGTTCACTAATGAACTCCAAAGTGAGTTTTTTGTTACACTGTATTATCAAAGTAATAGAACGATACACTTGGATGTGGGGGGGGGAGATCATGTCTCGTTGCATGGGTTCCATTTTAATAAAAAACGAACCCTCCCTTTGATGTTAGTCACAGACTAGATTTTAACATTTACTACAAACTGTTAGTACATATCTAGGGGAATAGACCTCCACTATTCTTGCAAAACAACTCTAAGTTGGATTTGTTTCCTCTGTTCTTCAGGACGTTCCAGATTGGTTAAACCAGATTTAGGCGGCTCTAAGCTGGCCGACGTAGACTCTACGCGTTACTTATTCGAAACCACTGAAGGAACAAAAATATAAAAATTGATACGATTCTTCCCCATGAACATCAACCAGTGGAGACTGCAAAATTGCCCAAAGTGCCATAATACGAGACCCTTTTAACTATTACCAATGAAACAAGTCAAAACAGATAAAATAGGTTCAAAACATGATCGAAACCCATTTAAACTTTACATTTCGGACAGCACAGTCATATATCAATTGTTAAGTAGCGAAATTCTACGCTATACACACTGTCTTTTCACTACCCAAATTAGTATTTAAACCTCAGGACAGTTGAAACCTTGCATTCATGACCGTGATAAATTGTTTGGGTTACATATCCTCCGTAAATTCCAGAGAAAAGAAAGAGGTTCTCTGCTAGAGGATGTGCTGATCTGCAGTCCTTAACATCATTAGAATCCCGAGCAATAGATGTAATAGCAGATATGCAGCTTATTTTCATAGCACTTTTCACATTTCACAATGGACCGGGTCAATATTTCTCATTGGCTCGTGCAGTGGTATTTTATTCTTCAGAACTTTACCCCGGATACGAATATAGACAGTCTGATTGTATTCGAACAACGTTTCACCCCAGTGTTGTATCCACTAATACGTAGTTCAGTACAAGAGACAGCCTGATTATATCGGAACAACGTCCCACCCCAGTGTAGCATCCACTAAAGTGTAGTTCAGTACAAGTGGACAGCCTGAATATTTCGGAACAATGTCTCACCCAAGTGTTGCATCAACTAAAGTGTAATTCAGTACAAGTAGACAACCTGATTGTATCGGACAGCCTGAATGATCTCGGAACAACGTCTCACCCTAGTGTTGCATCAACTAAAGTGTAATTCAGTACAAGTAGACAGCCTGAATGTCTCTGACACTCATTCCACCAATGCTATTTCCACTTACTATTCCTTTTTGAAAAGCCCTGAAGTTCGTAACCAGTAGAATTTTGACCTCAATTGGTTGTCTGTAGCAGTTGTTGTCTTTTATAACTCTTAGGCAGCAGGACATCATGAGATTCACATGAACATTTAATGGGGGGCTTGAAAATTATCAGCTAGGAATGTGCTGCCCTATTACTTTTGGCAACATAATGTATATTTTAGTTTAAGAGGAAACATGTGATACTGATTAAGCAATATATTATATTGTTCAAAAGGCAACAGACAATGTTTACAAAACAGTCGCTGATAAATCATATACTGTTAGAAAGACAACAGCCAATATTCACGATGGAGGTGCTGGTAAGTTGTATACTTTTTTAAAGACAACAATACCAGCAATTGCATCGTGAATAAGTTGTATACTGTTTAAAAGACAACAATGTTCACGCTGGGAAGTTATATACTCTTACCTCTCTATTGAACACGTTACGAAAATACGATTGAAGAAAGGTTTTCTTTGAATTTCTTAAATAGCAGGTCTATATTACATAAACAATATTTTTGTGAAATATATTTTGGTAAGTTATAGATGGGTACGTTACCTAGAAGTAACATTGTTCAAGGAACTAACATAAATAATGACATGGTTTGTCTAGACTGTTACCTGGAAGTCAGAGCATTCAACAACAGAATTGAAGCATTTGTATGAGTATTAAGCGACAAGGATATATTTGTAAGTTACAATGTGCAATAGAGGGCTAAGAGGACAACATATAATGTTCAGACAATACTTTGTTTTGTTTTTTCATATTCAGTTTAGCCACTCGCTTTACCTTCCTCGGCTGTTCTACATTCTACTATTTCACTTGGTTGGCTACGTCCTATCAAGTTCTCGGCAAGTATCCGAAAGTGGTAAGACGAAACCGGATGCAATCTTCTAACGGTGACTGAAATGTGTGGAGTGGAGAAGACAAAATGTGAATCTTGCTTATCCCACGATCCTTCAAAAATAAATAAACAGAAAAAATATATAAACATGATTAAACCTACTTTATCCACTTAAAGTAACACTACTACCTGTCCTTATACACTTATAAACATACCTGAAACATTTTTATACTCCACTATATACTTCAAAATGGCACTATTCCCATTATACGACGGTTTCCATGACAACTGTACAGTCCTGCTAGTTACATCACTCACCACTAGATTAGTTGGCGGGCTCGGGGGTTCTGCAATCGGTTAAGAAAATATTTTGAAACAACGTTTTTAGATTACGGAAACAAAATATTTAGAAGTTAAACTGAAGCATTTTTTATTCTGTTATTTTTTATTTGCAAACGAACCAGGCAGCAGATCATTTTTTTAAATTAACAGTGCTTTCTAAAGTAGTTCTAAAATTCAACTGTGTTTTATAGTTTTCTGTCTTTGAAACGAGACGGTCAGCTTTATGTTAATTTAAACCCGATTAAAATCAATCTGATAATCAATCATTACCTTTCTAATACACTGTAAACTATAAAAATACCGTAGTTTAGAAATACACATATGTGTGTGTACGAAAACCTATCTTAAAACTATTTCAAAAACTTCCTTCAGGCAAAAGTACTTTATACGTATCACGTATACTTCAAACCACACCAGGCTTGAAGCAAACGTATTTTATAGGTATCACGTATACTTCAATCCACGTGCCAGGCTTGGATCAAACACACTTTATACTTATCACGTCTAATTCAAACCAACTAGGATTGAAATTATTTTAGCTGAAGAGAGCCAATGAAAAGATGTGGCGCTAGAAATGTTTCTTGCCCCAAAATAAATAAATAAGTATATATACAGGGTGGGCCAAAAGTAGGGTTACAGTTAACACTTAAACATTTTTCCTTTATTAGAAATTTAA